AAAAAGAGAATAAGAATAAGAATAAGAATATATATATATATATATATATATATATATATATATATATATTGGTATACGGTTATCCTGTGAGATGATCTATAAATTCTAGGTGAACTGGAATCAACCGGTGCTTGTAGGACAGCCAGCTGAAGATGGTAGCGGTAGATGTTTACTTGAAGCTGGTGTGATTCTAAGCAATCCAGCAATGCAGAAACTAATTCAGTAAGCTTTTTCTCAAATATACTTTAGTATGCCTCAAATCTTCCAGGATATTGCATTTTGTAGATTCGATTGTATATCTTTTAAGACAACGTCATGCTTGTAATCTGCTTGCTAGTGGCTCGGACGCCGATCAGCTTGCTTTCGAAAAGTGTTTGCAGCTAGCAACCAATCTGTCGTGTATAAGCGAGTATCAGGTACGAATTTCGAGTAATTCCATATTTTTCGTCTTTTTCTTCCTCGTCAGCCTGCTATGTTCAAGGGTCAAGCTTACAAGGTTTGGCACGTTGATGGAACGCAAACTGCACACGATGCGATCAACAAATGGCGTGCACACGAAGCTTTTAATAAGTCGATAGCTGTTACAAAGTTACTGTCAGATGCTGATGCATCCGCACTTCATGATCATTTCGTTAGCGTCGAAGTAGCGAAGTAATTTGCTACCCACGGATCCACTAAAAAGGACAACAAGATGGTGTATTGGTGTTTAGAGTTGATGCTGAGATTGCTGCTATGGAACTAGAGTTGGGAGAACTTCAAAAAGACACGGATGAAGGGCCAACATGGCCTGCTGCCGTTCCTGGTTACAGCCGACCACCGAATCGGTACCAGGTCGGTAATGATTATTCGAATCAAATTATTTTTCTCAGTTACTATATTACGGCTTGTTGTAGAAGTCCGCAGTACCGCCGCGTTGCTATCTGTTGAGCCTGATTGTATAGCGGCTTTTGCAAAATCTTGAAGAGTATAGAGGCGTGTAACTTGTAACTACGTTTAATGGTTGATATAGGTGCCAACATGGGAGTTTTTCACGCTGAAGGATATATTCCGCAGTGAACCTAATCAAAATGTACGACCTCTCGAAGGAAAAGACCGCGATGATGTGATGGAGGTAAGTGTTCATCGAATTATAATTTAAACTTAAATTTTGAGTTTCTCGTTGGCACTATGTTGATGATCAGTACAAATTACGCTCATTAAAATTTTTTTTATTCATTCACTTTTTTAAATGAAAATCAAGGATTGTGTAACTCGAAAGTGTCATTCTCAAGATTGTATCTCTGTTTTCTTCTATCTTCAATCCCTAGGTTGTGGCTGCAGCCAGACAGCATGCAGAAGCGGAAGAACCCGACCTAGAATTTTTACAAGTTCGGAATGGCTATAGGTAAATTGATAAGTCCAGCTTTGAAATAGTATTTGACTTCAACTTCAGGCTTTTTGATCCTCAGCGTGGTATGGACTATATGGTTGATCTCGTCTACAAGGACGGAGCCACTCAAGCTACTGTTGAACGAAGAGTACATTTGTGTCGAATGGTTGCGGGAACACAGCTGATGAATCAGGTAAGATCATTGGAATACTAGAGAACTGCTAGGGTTTTTT